CTGGACACACTGGGGAGAGATATCACCAGGAAAGGCATGTGGGGAGGGCTTCATCCATTTAAATGCCTTTCTAACAACTGGTTTTAAATACCTACTTAGCACATGTTTGAAGACAGACAAGTTCCTACTCCTAATATCCTAGGCCCACCTACCTCCAGCCATCCTGCTCCAATAGTGGAGAGTAGGGGGAGGTGGCAATGAATCACCTTCTGTTCTATGATCTATAATTATTAACTACTTCATTCTCTCCACCCCCCTTCTTTTTTTTAACCAAAATCTGCTTTTCTTTTGTTTAATTTTGATACATTAAGCACATTTTCTATGTTACCCCTGAGGAAGTGGGGAGGTGTGGTGAGGGTACTTTCACATATATCCTCATTTTCATTTAATCCTTTCAGCAACTCTAATTTAGGCGTTTTATTCCCAGTTGTTAAATAGGGGAAGTGAGTCTTGGAGTCTTTTAACTTTATGGTGACAGAAGTTGGAGGAAGAAAAGAAAGTTTCTGATGCAGTCCCCATCCCTAATATGGACCCATGGAAAATGTTGGGCAATTGCACTGTGCACCTCAGACAAGAGTCTGCAGCCAAACAAATGAAACATTCTGATGCCATCTAAAATAAAGAACAAGCTCTGGAATCCAAAACCTGGGCTAGCCCCAGGACCTGGCTCTCCCTAGCTGTAAAACAGTAAACCAAACCAAAACCAAATTCACTGCTGTGGAGTCGGACCCAACTTATAGCGACCCCTCCTTGCGTTTCTGAGCCCGTGTCACTACGGAAGTAGATTGCCCAACCTTTCTTCCGAGGAGTGGCTGGTAGGTTTGAACTGCCACCTTTCTGGTTAGCTGTCAAATGCCTTAGGCACTACGCCACCAGAGCTGTAAGACATTGGGCAAGGCAATTCATGTTGTTGTTGTTGTTATTTGCCATCGAGTCGGACCCAACCAACAGAAGTAGATTGTCTCATCTTCCTTCCAAGGAGCGGCTGGTAGGCAGTTCATAGTAATTAAAAAACAGAACAAAACATTTGTCAAGTCAATTCTGACTCATAGCAATCTTACATGACAGGGTAAACTGTCTCATAGGATTTCCAAGGTGGTAATCTTTATGGAAGCAGATTGTCACATCTTTCTCCTGCTGAGCTGAAGGTGGGTTCTAGCTGCTTAACAGCCAAGCATTTAACCACTGCACCATCAGGGCTCCTCAGTAAATAATACTACTAACTAGCATGTGGGAGCTCTGGTAGCGTAGTGCCTAAGGCACTTGACTGCTAACCCAGAAGGCTGGCAGTTCAAACCCACCAGCCACTCCTCAGAAGGAAGGTTGAGCAATCTATTTCCATAGTGATACTGCCTCGGCAGCCTAAGGAGGGGTCACTATGAGTCGGATTTGACTTGACGGCACATAACAACAACAGCATGTATTGATCTTCCCCCATGTTGCAGACTCTGACCCAGGCAATTACTCATATACTTCCTCTTCCTCACAACAAAGTAGATGGTTCATCTTATAGATTAGGAAACTGATGCTCAGAAAATAAAGTTGTCAAAGATCAGTCAGCCAGTAAACAGGAGAGCTACCATAAGAAAATATTCTTAAATGTATTAATGTGTGTTTTATAATGTAACTTTACCCCCCACACACACTGTTATATATGTCTTTTGAAATTGTCAGGACCATCCATGTACACTATAACCAAATAAACCAAACTCACTGCTGTCAAGTCTGTTCCAACTCATAGTGACCCCTCCTTGGGTTTCCAAGGCGGTATCTCTGTGGAAGTAGATTGCCCATAAGCAATTATATATACCTGTTACAAATCCAAAAGGCTGTAAAGCATGGGCAGATAGGTTTTGTTTTGAAAATGCTTTTGTGAATTCAAAAATAAAGGCTTTATTACCTATGAGTTGAATCAACTTGATGGCAGTGAGTTTGGATTATTGTTGTTGTTTGTTTGTTGTTTGTTTTTTATCGCCTATGAGCTAAACACGTAAACAAGGGAGATGCAGTCCTTAGAAAAATCAACCATGGCAGATCAGAAGGGCAGCATTTGCACAGGGAGAAATGTTGGGAGGCAGGAATACATAGGCAAGAAGGACACAGGGAAAGGGTAACCACAGGGAGGAAGTGGGTGGGAGATGTTAAACTGCAGGGAATGTAACCAGTATCATAAAACAAAATTGTGTATGAACTGTTGAATGTAAAACGAATCCACCTGGTAAAATTTCACCCAAATCACAATTTAAAAAAAAAAAAAATTAAGACTTTATTATTCTTTTGCTATGTGGTGATTGTCAAAACAAAAGTACTGGACTTTCAAAGAGAGTCAAACTTGCACTGTCCAAGAATAAGGAACAGAAAAAGCATTTTGAAAAGTTGGGCTGACAAATACCAGCTATCCTTACAAATATGTTAAAACAAACTGCAATTATATACTAATATGAAATAGATAGGAAGATGCATTAACTAATCTCCATTAGGAGTCAGTAACTTGATTTTAAAAATGAGCAAAAGAATGACAATATGACTGGAACATAGTAAGAAAAGGAAAGTGAAAGAAAGATGAACGAAGAAACAGAAAAGGGAAAATGAAGAAACTATCTGTTCTTCTTGAAAGAAAACAGTGGAAAGAAGGGTGGCAGGGACGCTGGGAGAGAGAGAAAAAAGAGAAAGAAAAGTCAAGTGCTGTGAAAAATAAGCTGGAATTGTTGGGACGAAGCAGTTCCTCCAAGAAAAAGAAACTGATCATGACCCGCTTAGCTCTGAAGCTGGGTACAGTTTTTGCGACTGTTTAGAGAAATCTAGCGCTCTCCCCACCATTAATCTTTTCTAAAGAAAGGCTTTGTTCTGCACCTGTATAAACAATCCAGATTTAAAAAACGTATACGCTGCCCCTAATGTGTGAGACCACGTATTTATACTGATAGCTTCAAGTCATCAATAGACGATGCAAAAAGCTAGCCTGAGATCTCCCTGTTACATCTTTCTGCTCCCCCTTCTCTCTCTTTCTCTCTCTCTCTCTCTCTCTCTCTCTCTCTCTCTCTCTCTCTCTCTCTCCCCTCCCTCGCCGTGAAAGGCGAGTCTTGACTCAAGTTCAAGCTCATGCGCTCCCAGGATGATTTCCACGCTCCGTCAAATACTCCGTGCATTTTCCCAGCCCAGAGAGAACTGAGAAGCAGCTATCTTTTTACTCAACTAGTCCCAGAAGGAGCATCTCATCGCCATCCCCCAATGACAAAATGTGCAGGGAGAAAACAAATGGGGGCGAGCGGGAGGGGCTATGTGAAAGATCCCACGAGGAAGGCATGGCCTGGGAGAAGAAGATGGAATGATGCCTGCCTGAGTGATGAAGTCAGCCATGACCAGCCACCTGTTGCCGCACTTCAGGCACCAAGCCGGGCTCATTTGTTCTGCTGCAAGAGCTGGCGGAGGGAGAATGACCTAGCGGCGTCTGCCGCTGGGTTCGTATGTATAGGGAAGGTCTCCTTTCACCTGGCTCAGCTGGGGATTCTGTGGCCTATTAGACGAACACCTGAGACGGGGCTGTGAAGACTCAGTTTCCCCGTTGTAACACGGACGAGTTATAACCCCAAACTCATAGGGGTTTAATTGTTCAGTGGACTGCTCACATGGTACCAAGACAGTGCCTGGCGATCAGTGTCCACCTCCAAAGAGAAGAACTCATCTCGTAACCAAGTATTGCAATGGCCTTCGAATTAGGAAACGATGAGACCGCAGTTTTCTTTCCTTTGGGGCTTTTATTTTGGGCTAGGAATGGGGCGCAATAATTCTGGGTGCTGCTTCATCGACTTTTACTTTGGCTGGACGATTGAGTTTATTTAACATTCTGCATCCAGAAGCATGGTCTTCAATACATAATCTCAAATAGAACGTAGTCCCTACACCGTATCAACGCCTTAGAGTGGGATCTTCTATCCCATGCCTAATGGTTAAAAAAATTAATAATAATAATATAAAGCAAGTGTGCAACTCTCAAGGTAGTGGACAATGCCATATACAACATCCAGTTGAGCGCAGCGACTGAAATACTACTGGCCAAGGTTTCCAATCACGAATTCTGAGTCCTTACTCGATGACTAACCTGGTGATTTGGAGCCCCTTTCTTAACATCTCCGTGGCTCAGCTTCAAGTTCTGTAAAGTGGAGTTAACACCAAAGTAAAATATGTCTTTGGAGGAGGAAACAAACTAATGCAGATTAAAACGCTGATTTTTTTTTTTTTTTTTAAGCAGGACCAGAACTACAGGTGACTGTTGTGAATTGTCGAATGTTGTTTGCTTGTTTTGTTTTTTTTAATTTTTTCTTGGATAGGCAGTGAGTGATGAATTTACTAATTGAACCCTGCTGAAAAGACCAAAGGAATCAGAGGTCGAGATCCTGGGATCTTTAAGTGCCAGGCAAATCTTCATCATCAGTAAGATTAGCTGAAGGTGTAAGTGAGGTGAGTAGGAAAAAGTCCCCCTCCCCGATCCTTCCCCGACCCCCACCCCCCGCAAATTCCGCTCAGACAACCCGAGGGTGCGTCGTACCGGGTTCCCAAATCGCGGCTCTGCAGAGCCGTCCCCTTCCCCGGCCCCCACCAACGGCTCCTCGGCACTCAGAAAAAGCGGTCCCCACCCTGTCCACGCCCCCGCCCCACCTCTTGCTACCCCCCCCCCCGCAACCCCTCTTCTTTCCCTGGATGGTTAGTTCCAAGGAGTACAAATAAGTAGTTCTGTCAAAAGGCGCAATACACTGTGGCGCGCGCGTAGAGACTGTCCAGAGCGCCGCTTCTGGGCCGCTTTCTCCAGGGTCAGCGGCTGAGCGCTCGCGCTCTCAGCGTCCGCTTCGCTCTTGCAGCCCTGCTCCTGCTGGGCCAGGTCTGGTGTCCTCCCCAGAGTTCTCCCTGGCTCCCTGCCTCTGCAAGGGAGCAGAAGGCGGAGACGGGGAGACTGGCCTGGGGGAGGAAGACAAGCGCGCTTGGGCGCAGGAAACGAGGCGATGTCCACAGGCTCCGTGAGCGACCCAGAGGAGATGGAGCTGCGGGGACTGCAGCGGGGGTACCCAGTCCCCGCCTCCACGAGGCCTCCCCTCCACAGTGCCGAGCGCAGCTACGCCTCGCCTAGTGACAACTCTTCAGCAGAGGAGGAGGACCCCGACCGCGAGGAGGAGCGCTGCGGGCTGGGCGCTGCCGGTGGCCCTGGAGGCTGCAAGAGGAAGCGGCCCCGTGTGGCTGGGGGCGGCGGCGCAGGCGGCGGCGGGAGCGGTGGCCAGGGCAGCAGCGGGAAGAAGTCCCTCCCGCCCAAGGGCTCGGCGGCCGAATGCAAGCAGTCTCAGCGGAACGCAGCCAACGCCCGCGAACGCGCTCGGATGCGCGTGCTGAGCAAAGCCTTCTCCAGGCTCAAGACCAGCCTCCCCTGGGTGCCCCCCGACACCAAGCTCTCGAAGCTGGACACGCTCCGGCTGGCGTCCAGTTACATCGCACACCTGCGTCAGCTGTTGCAGGAGGACCGTTATGAGAATGGTTACGTTCACCCAGTGAACCTGGTAAGGACGCTGCGCGCTAGGCCGGGAGCTCTTGGGTAGTAGACAGAGTCGGGCCCTCGGGGAGGAACCGGAAAAGGGGGTTTGGGGACAGATAGTGCTGAGGCCAGTTTTAGTTTCTCCCAAATCAAGGGAGAAGCCAGCCATTTTCCCAAAGAATCATCATCTATCTGCGTTTGCATCATTGTTCATTGTACATGGTGCTTCACCCAGTCGCAGGCATTGGCTAATTTAACACTTCCGGAGAAGTCTTGGGTTCAACTGAGTCGGGTTGCAGACTGAATCCAAACTACCCTCACTCAACTTTTCCCGCTAAGACTCTGACAGGCTTGATTGAGCAAGACTTTCTTTCTGGAGGTAGGAGGAAAGGCTGAGCTCTATAAAGGAACCCTTGAACATTTTTAATTCCTTTGGGACAGCAAAGGTTTTCCAAACGCTATTTGTCTGGAAAGCCCCTCTCCGACCTGCCAAGTCTCCAAGCTTGGGAAAGATCTTACGCGAGCCTATCCAAGCCCCAGTTACTATTTGGGGCGGAAGGCTGCTGGTGTGTATGGGAAAGGGTGGAAGCGGGGGAATGCAAACAACAAAATGCCAAACTCTTGCACGTTTCAACGAACCACCTTGAGGGCAAAGTCCTGGAGGAAGCGTGGTGGGCACCTCACATTTTGCATAATCAACGTCCAGTAAAATTAAGATTTTAGTTGAGAGAGAAATACGCCAAGTTCCCAGAAGGCTGATTAAAATCTGAGTTATTTAAAGTCAAGGATATCTCGAGGTTTACTTACTAGGGCGGTTTCGATTTGAGATGGTAGTTTCTCCTCTCATATCTGATGTTTTTTAAATTTACAGACATGGCCATTCGTGGTCTCAGGACGACCTGACTCCGACACCAAGGAAGTTTCCGCAGCCAACAGACTATGTGGAACCACCGCTTAGATCCGACTGGAATCCATTGGATGGGAGTATTCTTTAAACTCGTGCGTTTGAGGGCTACTGAGAGAAGAGAACGCGCGAAAACCCCAGAGGACGGAAAGAAGTTCCTTTGGATTAATCGAGTCCCACTGGATTCTACCTGAATCCCCCTTTCCCCCGGACTCTGAACACTTGAGGTGGCGGGTGCGGGTATTCCATGTGGGGCGGTCCTGGGGCGTGGAAGGTACAGCCGGCTGGTCGGCCGCGTGGCCGATTGTCATTGCAGCGCGCCCACCGCCGCCGTGGCCGCGGGTCTGAGCAATCACACTTCACCTCTCCGGAAAGGGCCTCTCCGTCAGGAGAGCGCGTACCCGGACCCCAACCTCGGGTTTTAGCGGTACAGACGAAACCCCGCACTGCCGTCTGAGACCAGCCCAAAGATTTAGCTGTTGGTTTCCAAGCTGAGCCAGATACATAGTATGTGATGGCGCAACTCTGCACCGGACAGACCTTTCACTTTAGTCGACCGTTAGAGTGTGATTTCGATCAGTTTAAAGACGGAAACCCTGACTTGAGACGAACAATGGGCACGCTTTTAAATTTCAGAGACAGGAGAGTGGAAAGACTGGGCCAGGTTGTATCCTACCGGCAGCTCCCTCCCAGCGATTGGGACAGTGCCTGCCCCGCACCTGGCGGGTGGAGACACGCTTTCTGCATCAAGGAGCCTGACACTGCCGGGGCTGAGTTGTAGCGCCCAGCGAGGTGCGCTCCTGGTCCTCGGCCCCGCGGAGATCGGCTCCCACAACCCTCAACTCGGGCCTCCTCTTACCCAGGCTTCGGTCTAGCCCTCTCGGCTGGAATCTAGCCACTCCTCTTCCCACTATAGCCCCCTCCAGGCTCTGGTCTCCTCCCCAGGCTTGGGCCCTCCCTCTACTCCTCCACTCTGGCTCCACGGGTTCTCCCAAACCCCGCAGATTTAGGATTTTCCTGATCACGTTTATCCTTCCAATCTTTAAACGCCCTCCCCCAACACCGCCCCCAAGCGCAAGCCTCCGGGCGCCCTTCTTACCCGCGCGGAGGAGCTCTTCCGGTGGGCGGCTGGGGCTGCTTGATACCACGTGACCCTTCTCTAAGGGAACGCGCCCTAGCCCCGAGCCTGCTCTACCATAGTAATTAGCAAATGTAAATAAATTTATTTTTTTATGAGTAAAAAAATGCATTGTGAAATCTTTCCGCCCCTGAGAGCCTCAGAATGTGGTCTTTGCTGCCCCTTATCGAGAAGGTTTGTCACTTTAAAGGTGTGATTCTCTGTTCTGGAAGGGCTTGGGTCATTGTCAAGCGGATGAGTATTTTCTGCGTGCGAATGGTGGTGATCACTTTTAGATCACTGCATATCCAAGTTTAACTTCTAATCTCTCTGATCTTCACTCTCTCCAGCCAAGGTTTCCTTGAAAGCAAGGACTGGGGACTCATTATGCTCTAAGAGTCTTCGGCGCCAGGGCCAAGTTGAGAGGCACATACTCCTTGGTGTAATATAGCTGCAAAAATCTGTCTCTTTCTGTCTCTCCCTCCCTCCCTCTCTCTCTTTCTCTCTCCCTTTCTCTCTCCCTCTCTCTCTTCCTCCCCCCCCCCTCATGCAGACACACATACACACATAAACACACAGAAAATTTTCTTCAGCCTAAAGCACGCTCCATTCCAATGGATATAATGGCAAGCACTTCACGAACCCCGCATAAAGCCAACCCACTAGAGTCCACAGACCTCGGTCTTAACTAGAAGAATGAAAACATGAAAGACTCCAGTTTGTGTTTTAGAAGAGCTTTTCGTATTTCAAACATGTTATATAGCGTTTTAAACGTACAGCATAAAAAAGTACGAATAATAAAACTAACGAACTGTCCGATTTGGGATTCTATCTGTATTTTATAAAAGTGGAAAGCATTGTTCTTGACCAGAGTGAAAAAAAAAAAAAAAACCCTGATTTTTAGGTAGGAGATGAAAGGCAGATGGAGGAGCACAACGTCTTGTTTGAACCAAACCAACCCAAAACTCCAGAGAATTGCTTTCTGAACCCGGATTCTTGGGCTTTGGTTACAGCCCTGAGGAGAGGTCCAGTCTTCAGCGGCCTGACAGTCACTTGGGCTGGGGTTTACATTAGTCTATTTCTGGGGCACCGGAGGCTTTCCGGTAAGAGGGAGCAGGGCGGGTAAGTACAGGAAATTCTAGTCTGCTCAAAGACAGGTCACCTGTAAATTCTGGGTGGTGGGCTTTGGGGGTGGACTAGGGTGTCTGCAGAAGGTCAGATCTGATCAAAAGTCATTTCCAAAGCTTCCAGCAAGAAAGTGCCTTTTCAAGAAGAGGCGGCTGGCTGCACAGTAGTTGCTTAAGGACAACCTGAACGTCTTAGAAACCCAGCACGAAACTGAAGCCCTGCCACCAACTATCATCCTGTGCAAGTTCCTTAATGTTAACTCCTTTAAGCTTCAGGGTGCTCATCTGGGATAAAGATAAGATACATTAATCAACTCTCTTAATTATAAAGAGCTCTGGTGGTGTAGTGGATAAAGCATTTGACTGCTAACAAAAAGGTCAGTGGTTCAAACCCACCAGCTGCTCTGTGGAAGGAAGATGGTGTGATGTGTTTCCATAATGATTTACAGCCTCAGAAACACAATGGGGGTCGCTATGAGTCAGAATTGACTCAGTGGCAGTGGGTTTTTTTTTTTTTTTTTCCCCTCCAAGTTCATAGCGAGAGACACACTAAAATACTGGCTGGCTACTAAAGGAAATACAGAGAGGAGGGAATGGTCTTCGGCAAAAGGGAGACACGTTCAACAGATCCATTTTAGGAATCTAGTCTTTAAGTTTTGGTCCAGTTCTTAGATGCCTGCATCACAACTATAAAAGAGAAATGTCCTACAAGACCTGAAAAATAGAATAGCTATATGTGGTGAAAACAGAGAACACATACTTGAATAAACAAGGAAATATTTGGGCAAGTATTCATAAATAAGAGATATTTTTAAACATTTATTTCCATACTTATATTCTTCCAGGTAATTTCAAGGATGGACTCACCAATCTCTTGTTTCTGTCCCCTTGTTCATTAAAGTGACAATAATCACTACTCACATAATGTTGCATTTTGCCCTCTAAATTCATTTTCCTGCCATTTTTTAATCCAATAATTTATAAAGAAGGAAAAAGCTTTCTCAGGAATTTTTTTGCTCCATAATTGCTGTGAAAAGTCCAATGCCATGAAGGTCCAGAAAGGAGAAAAAAAAAAAAAAAAGAAAGAGTGAGTCAATTTCTCAGCCCTGAAGAAGCTATGTAAATTGCTCAGCTTCTAGGAAAAGCTTGCAGCTGGGAGAGGTTTCAAGCATCACACGTTTTGTTGTTGTTGTTTTTATTTGACTGCTAACCAGAAGGTTGGAGGTTCAAACCCACCAGCCACTCCTCTGAAGGAAGACTGAGCAATTTACTTCTGTAAAGATTTACCACCTCAGAAACCCAAGGGGGTCGCTATGAATCAGAATCGACTGGATGGCAGTGGGTTTTTTTTTTTTTTTTTTTTTTAATATATGTAAGTGTTAGAAAGTTATCCTAAAGCATTCCTTTCCTTTTTCCTTCCTGCTCTCCCCGCCCCCCTCCTTATAATTTTCTTTCAGGGATTTCGGATGGAGAAATTGGGAATTAGGACTGGAAACTGGGAAGTTAAGAGAAAAAGAGAAGTACTTATGCCCTTAGGGTTTCTTCAATTAATTACACTCTTGTGAGAGCAAACATGAGAAAAAGGTCATTTCTTGTTTAAATAAGTGAACTTCTTATAAGAAATTTAATGTAAAACGCACTGGATAAACAAACAAAATGAGTAAATTGAAGAACACTCTTCAAGGGGCTTTTTGAGGACCAAATCATTATTATTAGTGACACTGACTCAACCAAAGAGAACAAAAATCCCCTTTCACAGGTCCTTCCTGATATGAATACAGTAAATGAACTGCTTTCAACCATTGTAATCTTGAAACATTTTGGTGGTTCTTGGTTGAGGATGTTGATTCTGTGCATGTTCTTTTGCACTTAGCTTCAAGGTACAACTCAACTCTCATCTACTGGCTTCTTCCACAGTGCCAATGACCTTGCAATTTAAAAAAAAAGAGATTTTCACTGGCTTTTTTTTACTAATAAATGCTTCATAAGTTAATCAAGAAGAAGATAGTTTCCCTATAAAAAGAACTAAAGGGAATGCATTTATTTGAATAGGTAAACAACGCAACACAACCACTGCCATGGAGTCGGATCCGACTCATAGTAACCCCTAGTTGGGTTTTTGACGCTGTATCACTGCGGAAGTAGATTGCCCAACCTTCCTTCCCAGGAGTGGCTGGGGGGTCTGAACCACCAGCCTCTGGTTAGCAGTCAAATGCCTTAGGCACTATGCCACTGAAGCTCTTATTTGAATAGGTAGTAGTTTGTTTAATATTTTTGAAAAAATATGAAACAATAACTCAAATATGGGTCCCATATAATTTCAGTCATGTTTGGAAAGGCAAAATGGGAAAATTCATAATTGACTTCTCAGTGCCATATATCAAACTGCTGCAAAAATCCACTAGGCCAAAGTGGGGATGCTGGTGGACTCCCTCAGCAAGTGAGAGCTTCTTGAATCTCCTTTCAGAGGGAACATCTATATAGCCAGCATAGCCTGGATGTTTGCATCTTTGTACCCACCATTTGTTATTCTTCTTCCGTTTATTCTGCCCTTTGTGTTCCTCTTCTTTCTCCCACTACAATGAAAAATGACAGCAGAGGAAGCCTTTGCAACCATGACTCTATGCAATTCCAGAAAGGAGCCAGAGCCAGACATTTCCAGTTGGAAATTTGATTAACACTATGCTAGCAGTCATCACAAATTATCTCAGCCTTCTCCATTGTGAGCTCTGCTGTCACCATTTGGGATCTTTTATTGCTTGGAGTAAAGAGGATTGTGGAGCTATTAAGAGCGGTGGCTTTAATTTTGG